CCGCCGCTGCCGCCGCCGCCGCCGCCGCCGCCACCGCAGCCCGACCGGCGAGCGAGAGCAGGCGAGCCACCTGAAGCTGCCGGCTCCTCGGCGCCGACGCGACTGAGTGTCCCCTGCGAGGAGCTGCGCTCCTGACCACCGATGACGCCCCAGCCTCTTCAGAGGACGGACCCACATCGGTCGCCCCTATAAAGCGAAGGGGAAGCGCAAAAAATCGGCTGGCCGAGGACGTGTCCAAATGGGCCGTCGCGCACCCCGAGGATGCGGGTCGTGTGCGGGGGTCCCGGCGCAGTGGGTCTAGAGTGTGGGGGTCCCGGTGACGGGGGACAGGGGTGCCCCCAAATCAGTGGGCGCACGACCCCGCCTCCCGGACCTGCCTCCCAATTTTCGGCGAAGTGGTGTAGCCCTGGGCGGCGTGCAAAGTGTGCGACGGCGGCGCTTACCCCTGCGGCGCGCTTTCTTACCTCCGGCTTCCCGGTTAACGCACAGCGGAGCGGCTACCCACCCCGCCCTCCCAGCGGTGCGTGCCCGCTGAGATAGGTGTCACAAGCCCAAGGGATCGAGGCGCCTTGGGAGGGTGTTCGGATCCTCGGTGGACAAGTGTTAATGTGCGCGCAAAAGTAGTTTTTAAAAAGAAGCCGCAGCGAGGCAGCGTGTGAGACGAAGGCGCCACCGCAAGGCTGGTGGTCTGGTGTGTCGTGAGGTGGGTGCAGTGGCCGATAGGTGTCCCGGGATCCTGAAACAGAAGGAAAAGTCCTTTAATCAACTTCAACTTCTTTGCAAATTGTTTCGAAAGTCCCAAGTATGCTGGTCGCTTCTTGTGTAGGACTCGGACTCGGCAGAGAGCGTGGTGGGAAGTTTTAGCGTGCAGACACAAGTTTCCAAAACTGTCTGCTCAGCTTTTCCTGGGACCTGGGCTGGACCACTTGCTGCCACACAGGTGTCACCGTGCCTACAGATCATTCATTCATTCAGTGTTTGGTGCACAAGGTCCACCACGTGCCCAGGTGAGCTCAGGTAGCCAGGTGAGCAGGTAAGCTATGGCGGCTGCCTGGGGTGGAACAGAGGCCTGAGCCTAAGCCAGTGCTGTGTGCAAAGTGATCACAAACTTCCAACTGTAACTTTCTGTGACTTCTCAACAGTCTATGATGTGGGTTGGCAGGAGGGCTACCTGAGAGGGGGCACACCTAACATCCTAGGGGAGTGCATTGTGTGCTCTGCCAGAGGCCTACGGTGAGCTTGCTGGGAATAGTTTTAATTTCTCTCTTAAAAGAAAAAGACCATTGAAATTCTCCCTCCGATTTGATAAGCACAAATTAAGAAAAGGTGACAAAATGGAGACATTATCTTATTTTTCTTGGCTCTCTTTTTGCAGACACTATTCTACAAGGCCTCTTGATTTATGGGTCTGAAGGGAAAAAAGCACGTGACTTGATCACCAAGGACCATTTGGAATTGAAAACAGGAAGTCGCCGGGGTGGGGGTGGGGTCACCAGACCCTCACCACCTCACCGCACCCCAGTGGAGACCCCTGGCTTTCTCCCACCAGGTCTCCGTCACACTGATCAGTCTCCCTCCCACAGAAAGAGACTTCTCCACATGAAAACCAAAATGAGAACAAAGCCACAACTCAAAGAAACGACATACAATCCAGGCCGACACTTCACCTCAACACTAGTGGATAAAACTCAAAAAGAAAGTAACCAAAATACAAGAATGGGTAAATCAGTTCCAAGGGAAGGCCTTTCCATCAAGGCTGCTTGAGTAGACGATTTGCTGTCTGTCACAAATTGATTATAAACTACTTGAGGGTGGGACCCACACTTCCTATTCTCCATATTAAATAAAACTGCCTTGGTTGAATCTGATCAATTGACTCGCTGTCATTTTTCATGATTTGACGAGGACAGGACATTTTGCTGCTGTTCCCGGGCATATTCCTTCCTGCTTCTGATGTGAGTCTCCAAGACAATGCGTTTAAAAGACAGGAGGAAAACTGTTCCCCAGCGGAGCCTCGTGCTCAGGCCCCGGGCTGCTGGGAGTGCAGGGCCGGGAGCGAGGCAGCACCTTATTTGGAAATCTCTGACTTGGGTCACCTTTTTCCCCTTTTTGGAAAAATGTCACACCTGAACTTTAAAAGGGAATTGGACTGTCCCATGCCCGTGCCACAGACTGATACCTAGGCCAGGCACAGCTGGAACATGGTCGTAGCAATGTGGACATCAACATTAAGCCTTCAGCTCTTCCAATCTTTCGGAGCCTACCCGAGAAATGCCGTTTCTTTCTTTTTTTTTTTTTTTTAAGTGTAGGTCTTGCCGATAATTTAATAGGACTAACCACTGATGGACAAATAAAGCCCTGACTTTGTAAATAAGGGAGAGTGGGCATTCAGGGTTTACAGGTAAGCAGGTGACACCGAGGGCTCAGGGCAGGAGGTGGCTGCATGAGCTGTTTTCAGATGACACAGAGTGAAGGAGGAGGTCTGACTTAATTGGTGTGGTGAGCTTACACCATCTACAGACTTAAGCTTCACATCTGACCCTACCCAGGCCCTAAAGACACAAACACAAATCCAACCCAAACTACCAAACTCAATTTCCTGGGGCGATGCCCACCCCACCAACACTGCAGAGCTGCCCTACACCGTCCCAAGCTTGTAAATCTTTACACACAAGCAGACAACTTCATCCTGCTCGTTGGCAGCTGCTGAAATGTCTGAACCACTGCCAGTCTTTCAGTTAGCGGCCAAACACTTTAGCTTCTGTGTCACCAGGGCTCCACAATTTACCACTGGGGTGGGGGTGAGGGGAATCTGCATTTCAGTTAGGACTTTAAAAGTGAAACTCTGCCCTCAAAGTTATAATTCAATAAATGAATATAAAAAAGGCTTTCTGATTTGAAGGCCACTCTCTGTGACCGTTTGCTATGAATTAATAATTTATTTTAACATGCCATTACTGTTTTAAGTGCCTGGTTTATGCTCTGAGAATACAGCAATTCATTAGCATAATTCTTGGAACCGTCCAGGGGAGAGGCTTCCCAACTCCGGAGGCCCCTTGTCTCGCACTGGGAGAGATGGAAGTTATGGAAACTTTGGGTTCCAAGGAGGGACAAAGGGCACAAAATGCTCAGAAAGGACACAGGTCCCTGGCTCAGGTGGCCACTACATGGGAAAGGCAGGCAGTGGGGAGAAAACACCCCCCTAACCTAAAACCTCAAATTACCCAACTATGCAGTTTGGTTAGAATGTGTCACACACTACACGGAAAATGCCCTTGCAACATCTCTCTGCAGCATTCCTTATTTTACAATGAGTGAATTCTCACGGAGGGCTTGGGATTGTGTGTCCTTGAAGCTTTGCCCTCACCAACAGAGATTGTGTGCTTCCCTGTCTGGCGTCTTCTGATGCGAGTGAAGAAATGCCTGGGCTGCTTTTTGAAGCAGCAGCCAGGCTTGCTACAGCTTAGGGTCTTGGGAATACGGCCCTCCTCAATGATGTAATTCAGCTTTGGGACAAAAATGTTCTTCTTGGCCTGCTATTAGTTAGGGTCATTGTAAATTATTTGCCAAGAGCCCTGGGGGAAATATAATTATTATTTTAATAGCCTAAGAAACAATGCACAGGTTTCAGCTGAAACAGAAACTTTAGCTCTAAGGTTTTAATAATAGTATTTAGTGCTTACACGGTACTTTATGCCTTCAAAGCACTTTCTGCACTTGACTTAACTGTAATGACTGGAAATACGACTACAAATGAATGCTGCTGAAGGATTATGCTGTACAGATGATGAAAGCAGGCATTGTGAAAGGCATTGTTCTAGTCCCAGCTAAATTTCTATTTCTGCAGATCCAAGGATTCTTATAGATTCCTTCAAGTGGTTCCTTAATTTATAGGATTTTTTTTTTTCAAAGAAAGCCCACTGATTTTTATTGGCTATGATGAAAACAGAGCCTAATCTCTCACTATAAGATCTGATTTCCCAAATCACTATCAAATTTTTCCCAGCTCCCAAATGTGAAATAAGCCTGAGAGGCCTTCACTTAGACAATGGCTCTGGTCTCCACAGAATGAAGCCTGATGGGGTAGGCCCATCACTGTCTGAAAACATTCTTGTACTTTCAGAATGTGGTTTGAGAAGGAGGAGAGACGAATCACCCAACTAGAAAACATTTAGCTCCTTGCCTGCTTAAGAAATAGGCTGAGGGGTCTTGGAAGTTAAGTGGGAGAGAGAAGTAGGGGCTTAACCTGCTATCTGGATGCCTTTCATCACCCCAGGAAGCCAGTTACCCTATTTTTGAATAGAAGCTCCTAGAAACCTGAACAGAGCACAGCCATATCTGTGTACCCTCAGGGATATATATCCATGTCAGAAAGTCTGAGGTCTCTAGGCCAGTTTTTTCTGCCCATTATTTATCAAACTTTCAAAGTTCCCGACCCATCTCCTCGTTAAATCCACCTTGTGTTGACTCCAGACCTCAGAGTCACTCAGGAGGAAATAGCTGTCAGTCCAGATTTCCAGATACGTGTAAATGCCTTGCCCAGGGTCCAAACAACGGTCAACTCAAGTCCCACCCACAACCTTCAACTTGCAGACTTGGGCTCAGACTTTTCAGGCTCAGACCCTGCAGCTTTAGCTAAGCTCTCTCTATCTCTTCCCCCAACAAATACCAGCTCTGGGTGATACCGGCCATCTCTTCCTTGTGCCAATGTGGATCAAGAGCTTCCCTCCTTGGTGGAGACATAAATCTCTCCTCTATTTTGCCAGAGGCTCCTCGTCTGACACACTTGTCCCTGAATAAACATTGGCTCACTCCAGCCTTCTCCCCGCTCTGTCTTATCCGGACAGGACCAGTTCCATTTGCAAAGTTCTGCTAAGGACCGGCACTGTCAGGAGAGGAGCTGTTATTTAAGACTATACTAATTCTTTAAAACAACAACAGCAACAACAAAAATCCTAACGGGATGATTATCTGGGGGCATTTTTTCCCCTTGATATAACACTAATGTGCAATTACAAAATTTCTCTTCAGCCATAAAGAACCCTAACCTTGTACTAAAGAAAAAATGTGGTGCTCAACTTAGTAGACCTTCACTTCAGGAAGACTCGACGGCAAGGAATGAATTCTACAGTGGTATACAAGTTTCCTAATTAATTTCTATCCTTAATTTAGAAATCATTTATTGGTAGGAATGAACTTGCAGTGTGCCAAATCCTAACCATTAGGCCACCAGGGAAGAAAGGAACTTTGAACAAAGCCACTCTCTGCCTTAAGATGGGGCAAACAGAAAGAAAGAAAGAAAGAAAGAAAGAAAGAAAGAAAGAAAGAAAGAAAGAAAGAAAGAAAGAAAGAAAGAAAGAAAGAGGAAACAGACAAATAAACAGCCAAATGGGTGCACTACTCTTTTCCTTCTGAACCTAAGTAGTACATGCTCGCTTGGGCTGCATATTCTACAAGGCCTGGCAACACTACACTAGATGGCCCATGTGCAAAGCATGGCCTCCTGATTTGATATTAATACTTAATCATAAAATTCTGTATCAGGCTCAGTGTTAAACCAATGGACGAGGTCAATGGAGGTTTTTCACGAGGTTGAACAATATTTAAGGGTCTTAAGGGCTCTGCAGTAGGGAAGTTAATTTCCCTTTCCTTCCCTTGGGAGAAGGGCCTTCAGGAGCACTAAGGTAAGAGGAAAAGCTGTTGTTTAGGACTCTCTAACTTGGCATTGAAAAAGGAAATGGCTCCAGGATGAGGCTAAAGCAAGGAGAACTAGTCACAAACGGACGCAGGATGGCGACCTTGTCTTTGTCTTCACAAGGTTTCTTGTTTGGATAACATTGATCTTATTCAACATATCACAGCAGGGGGGAAAACAGGAGTTGGCACAACTGGATGTGATGTGCAGAGCGAAAGGCTGCTGGCATTCTGATACTTTCCCTACACAAGAGCAGACCCTTAAGTGCATCTCATGGCTTTGCACTCCACCTGTCTGCAAACTTCATCTCTATCATGAAAGTTTAGAGACTGCAAACATTTTAGATTAATCAATAGATTTCTTTTCAGGTAAGTGCTACCTGGTGAACCTGTTTCTATCAATTCATTAATTAACAGTTGAGGAGTGCTGGTGGCACAGTGGTTAAGCATTCAGTGACTCCAACTCAACAGCTTCTCTGTGCCTGTTGCTTCCCTAAAGGCTACAGCCTAGGACCCAAGGGCGGAAACTGAATCTGCCCACACAAGGTTGCTCTGAACTGGAATCAGTGGGAACAAGGCTGGTTTGAGTTTGTTCTACCTACCTGCCTACCTGTCTATCCATCCATCTATCCAACCTACATACCAATCCATCCATCCAACCTACCTATCCATCCATCTAGTCAAGTTATATACCCATCTATCCATCCATCCATCCATCATTCACCCATCCACCCACCCATCCATTCAACCTAAATACTCATCCATCTATCCTACTTAATATCTATCTACCTATCCATCCATCTATATACCCATCTACTCTATCTACCTTCCTATCCATCTACACAAATATGACAACTGCCTGCTGAACGTCTTATATCTTGGGTCTTTCCTTATGTTGTTATGTATTGTCTATGGGCTGGTTCTGACTCAACGGCACACTGACCCCTCCATCAGGTTTTCAGAGGCTAGAAACTGTACAGGAGGAGAATACCCTTCTGTCTCCCATAAAGCAGCTGGTGAATTCGAACTGGTGCCCTTGTGCTGGTAGTACAACTCCTCACCACTAAGCCACCGGAACTCCCTTACAGAGCCAACAAAATCCAGGTGATCATTCTAACACAGCCCCACAGTTAGTTACTAGAGTCAGGCAAGAGCAACGGAGATTCGAGGGGTCCACAGGCAAGGGTGAGGGTGCCGTGTGCCGTCTTAGCAGAGACCCACCCTACAGTCCCACTTCCCTTTGCTGTTGGTAAACCCTGAATTAAGCAATTAGTGTGCCCTAATTAGTCACACATTGATTTAATGCATCTAGATGTGTAGGTGCCTTTCCACCATGGTGTTTGCCCACACACATTTCAGTGGCAATTAGACAGTGTGTCATCGCTATCTAGCTCCTCCTGCCTCCCTGGATTCTTCCTGGGCAGGGGGAACTAACTCATGCCCCCCCATGGGGAAGGCGGGAGGAACTAACTCATGCCCCCCCATGGGGAAGGCGGGGGGAACTAACTCATGCCCCCCCATGGGGAAGGCGGGGG